TTTATTGGACTAATCAGGAGAATAAAGGTAATGTGTTATACTAATACTAGGGGTGTGCATCAAACAGCACAAACCGCATAAACCGTCGGCACCGCACCACACCGCACTGCATAATGCGGTTTTGGATGCTCGTAGTGCAGTTTGCGGTTTGTAGTTTTCATAAACCGCACTATGCATTACGGTTTGCGGTTTATAGTTACCAAAAACCATGGTTCAAACCGCACTGCATCAATACCATATATATAATATATATATATTATATATATATATATATAATATATATATTATATATATATATATATAATATATATATATTGTGTGAGTTTGAAAATAAGTATGAGAGAGGATATTTTTGTCATTTTATCTCAAATAGTTATAAGCCATTTTACGTCTGGTTTTTTGAAAACTACAAATTTTATTAGTGGTGAGCAAATGATAATTTTATAAGTTAAACTTAATGACTTCTAAAAGAAGCTAATAAGTTAATTAATCCTTTCAATAGTAAAAACTCTTAATTCCTTGTAACAATGCATTTCATAGCTTTTTTTTTTTTTTTGACATATTTAATATTTATTGGGTATTAACAGGTTTATTCAGTGGTGTTATCGCTAACTGAGTTATGCAGAGTGAGCTAAAAGTAGTTCAGTTGACGGGTGAACTAAGTTTCTCTGAAATGGTTAGTTTTTGTAAATTTTTTATATAAAATCCAATTATGTTCTTCAATATTATAAAGTTTAATGGTAAAGTTGGTAATTTTTGCATTTGTTTTCCAATTTTCAGGCGACAACATTGTCATGGCCTCCTCATATCTTTGTTTCTACTCCAGCTTGTGTCCAATGATGTCTTTCATCAGGTGTTCTTCAAGCAAAATCCGTTCATGATTCTCTTTAAATTCTTATTCTTGATGAGGTATGAATTCTTTTCTTTCCATAAAATTTATAATACTCTTTATTAAAGTATTTATTCATGTTAGTAAATCAGGGAAATCTTCTTTTTACATATGGATATGAAAAGAATCTCAAAGATCTCAAAACTCACATTCCTAAAAGATGTCAATGCTTCTCATGTCTGCTACCTCAAGGTTTCTTTGTGTTATTATCACTTCTTATAGGATGGTATTTCCATTTCTACCCCTGCAATTTCTTCATTCAATTAATTCTGATGAAATTTTTGCAGTGATGATGTTGAAAGCTTGAAGAAGCTTTATCTACACAATCCCTATATTCTTACTTTACCAGAAGTTGGTGATGGAAAGGACGAAATTGTCCCCAAAAATGTTCAGCAATTTTGGGTAAGAGCTTAAGAGCTAAAATCTTGTATACTTATTTAACAAACTTCTTTTAGGTCTTTTCTTTCATAAATTTTATAGTTTCTTAAATCTTTATTTATTTATTTTACTTTTATATTTAGATACAATGCAGTTATCGACATAATCTTCTTTACATTCTTGCAATTTTGAAGTTGGATCTTATTCAAAAGAAAGTCTTGATATTTACAAATACAATTGACACAAGTTTTAGATTAAAATTTTATCTTAGGCGGGTATTATTTTCCCATTAAATTAATCTTTTTTTTGTACCTATTATAGATTTTAATAAAACTTTTTATATATTTTTTTACAGTTTGGTATAAAATCTGCTGTGTTAAATGCTGAATCGCGTCTACATATTCTTAAGGTATTATTCTATATTTTTCAATACTGGGGTGAGTTGATACAATATTTAACCGGTATGACAATTTATACATTAATTTGTAGTGATGTACATTCATCCGCTGATAACAGTTCTGTGGATTCTCAAACAGTTAGTTCTGTGGATTAATATTAAACATAAATTCATTATTTTTTACATTTTTTTGTTAAATTATTACATAATCACATAAGATATTAGTCTATTAAAAAAAATAATCTTAATAAACAAAAATGAACACACAAAAAAAAAAATTAAAAAATTAAAAAATTAAAAAATTAAAAAATCAAAAAACATGGATTCCGCAGAGTTGTAGAGGATCCACAGAGCATTTAATGCATCCGCAGAGGGTGCTCTGCGAATCCTTTTGTCATTTTCCAAAATATGTTTTTCCTTTGTTATTTTCTTCAAACCAACCTTATCTTTTTTTTTTTTTTTTTTCTTTTGTTATTGTCTGAAATTTCTCCTTAATTAACTGTCCTTTGTGTTATTTTTAAATACAAAATATCGCGCGACATCAAACAAACAGGTCACAGGTTGAATCCCTGGCCCTCCATTAGCCACAGCCGCTAAGTTGAGTAAGCCTTTAAAGTGCCCGTTGAATTAACTCGCCCCATGGAGGCTGAGGTTAAGATGACCCGGGTTTGGGTTGCCACTAATCAACCTATTTTTGCAAAGAAGAAATAATAAACTATTTCGATAATTCACCAAAACTTGTTTTGGTCATTTTCACATTTCGTAATCAACTTAAAAAAAGTTAATCTACATTAAACTAGAAAGCAAGTGCTAGTGACTTTCCTAGTAAGACGGCCGTGGGTGAAAATTTTGTCCTCTACGTGAAGGACAGTTGAATCACGAGAAATAAATAACCGATGTAAAGAACTATGTGAAACACATAAACTATAATCTTCCAAATCATGGCAGAGCAAAAAGTCGGATTAGGTGAAATGAGAAATAAGAAAATCCAAATTTCAACCGATGCGGAAGAAAATTTCCCCGGAATTAATGCTAGCGATGATAATGGTAATGTTATCGGTGGTGAACAAGTTCAGGGATTAGCCACCGATGAGGATGCTCAAATGATTAGTATAGAAACAGAAAAAAAGGTATACCCTTTTATTGGCAATGGACGCTATGCCCATTTTGGACAAACTTATTCTCATGATTTTCATAGGAGAGCAGCAGCATCGTACCCTATATGTGATGGATTTTCACAATTCCGCCCTCCAAATCTATTCAATGTTGCTGAGGATTATGAAAACCAAGAGTTCGGGCGGGACCCAAATCGGTTGGATTACTTTAGGGTCATGCCTTTTGATGTCTTTGGAGACGATCATCTCACTGGAATTGTTGGTTATGGCGGTGGTGTTGGTGGTAGACTGGATCGTGGCCTAGTGGAAGGTCTTATAGGTAGTAACACTGCGGTTGCAGGTGGTGGTATAAGGTTACGAGTTCCGGTTGGGATTTCTGCTAATAATGGTACTGAAGCGGTACTGGAAAGAGTCAACCAGGAAAAAGGTAATGGCGTTGATGGTGGTGGTGGTGGTCGTAGGGTTGTGGGCCCGCGGTTGGAGAAGGAAAGAGGTAGTAGCGAGACTGCCGGAGTAGGTGGTGGTGATGGTGGTGAAGGTGTAGTCGAAAGATTGCTTGGATTGAAGAAGGATGGTGCAACAGTGACTGTGCGGGTGGCGGTTATAGTGGTGATGTTGTTGATGATGGTGATGGTGATGATGGTGTTGGTGTTGGTTATGGGGAAGATGGAAGTTAAGGGGTAGGAACATGGCAGGAAATGTTGCGGGTTTTGTTAACATTGTGGATGATAATTTTTAATTAATTTAGACATTTAGTAGTTGTGTTATGTAGTTTTATTTTCATGTTGCTTGATATTGGATTATAATGAAAGCGTAATAGGTGTGTTGAAAAACTATCATTGAGTTATTTCTAATATTTATAATTTTTCAATCACCAAAGATAGTTATAACTATATTAATTTGCAACGATGATTCCAAAGACACAACCCATATGTTGCCACACTTCCAATTATATTTGTAAAAATAATACTTTTCATTTATATCTATATAATCTATTTTGAATAGTTACATTTTCCACTATATACTTTTCGAAATTTCAATTTGATTCTCTACTTTTAAAATATTTTGTAGAATTATAGTTTTCACCCTTTCATTTTTTTTAAATGTCATTTTGACCTTTAAAAATATCATTTTCACTATGTTATTGTGACCTTACGGTATAAATTTTGATTTTTTTAAACATTTTTGTGTTTATTTTTATGTACATTTCGCGCAAATGAATTTGTTCACATATAATATGTTTTCATTCGACGGAATATATTGGTAGTTCGTCAGTAATACCAACCTTATATATTTATCTAACAATAAATGCAACAGAATCTAACTTTTATCAGTACAATCTTGAAAAGTCAATTTAATAAATGGATTGACATCGCAACAACACATGACAAACAAAATCCTTGTTAATTGTTAACTAGATGTGAGACTCATGTATTAAATGGGTTTATTTAAAAAAATTTAAATATGAAATTTTAACAATTTGAGAAATTTGAATTTATAAGAAAAATAAGAAAAATTTAAATTATTAAAATTAATGTGGCTTTAATACGTTGAATACATTACATATATAAATCGTTTCTAATAAATAATACATTACATATATATTAGCTTATATATTAAATTTGAAATTTTAATTTAATAAAATGAAAAATACAATAAAATTACAAGTGGAAAATAAAAAATTCAAAATTTCTAGAAAGTATCATGTGTCAAAATGAAAGAGAAGAAGACATGTGGCAAAAAAAAACATTCATTTATTAAGGAGGATTTGAAAACAAAACTCTTTGTAATTTGGTTGATTTTTTTTGGGATTGTTGCTTCTTTTCATGACTTACTGTATTTTCAAAATTTGAACTATTTATGGGCATGTTTGACAAAAATAGTTGTTAGCTGGAGGCGGACAACGTGTAGAAAGTAGCTGGCAGCAGGAAGCTATAGCTTTTATTTGTTATATTAATGTTTGGCAAAAGTAGCTGGAAGCTTTTGAAATATATAAAATTAGATAAAAGGACACTTGATTAAAAATAAATAAATATATAAATATATTTTAAAGGTAATTATGGAAATTGATTTCAAAAGCTCAGGAACGTTTTGTTAAACGCTACATGAAGTAGCTTTTAGAATCGGAGCGTTTTGTTAAAACTAAAAGCTAAACGTTCGTACTGCCAAACAGAGGCTTTTGTTTAAACTAGAGCGTTTTATCAAAATCTAAAAGCTAAAAGCTCCGAAACGCTTCCAAAAGCTCCGTGCCAAACATGTCCTATATATATGAACAGGTTGGTAGTAAAGATTACTATTATAACTGGCAAGGAATTTTATAGAAACACGGAGGACTATGATCCTTGCTATATTTATTTCTCTATTATATAGCTAGAAACAATATGTTCATTGCAAATTCCGTTGAAAATTAATGAATTCAAGAGGAAAAAATTTCACTCTATTTTACCCGGTGTTTAAAAAGATGCAACTTCATAATTAAAGATATATTATTAAGTATTATAGTTTTTTTTTTCGTATGCATAGAGCAACTTCAACTTCATGGATTATGTAAGCTGAAGATCTTCGTTGTTGATTTCATTGTTCAATTTGTGCGAATCAAATCTTTCACATGTTAAATGTAGAGTTACTAATTTATTCTTAATTAGTTTTTTTAGCAACTAAACCAGATATACTATAATACCCACAAACAGACCAATGCAAAAGGTTGATGCTGGCAACCATAACCAATCCCATCAAACCTAGCCTCAAACTTGGATAGATGATTTAGTAAATAATTTACATAATTATTATTAAGGTTTTGGTTATATGGTATGGCATGTCCACTGTAGCCATTCGGTATGGTATAGAAACATTGTTCGACCCACGCAGCACTGATGAATTTCATACCGCAACGCCACGGTTACACCGATGTAAAAAACGATTGTTGTGCTCTCCTACGCCTAGTTGTGGGAATTTTTTTAATTCTGTAAATAAGCATTTATTCATTCTCGTACCATTCTCACAAATCTTCTTAACTTTTTATTCATTTTATACCTACATTTTCAAGTTTATAAAAATGTTTCCATTATATGACAATGCTAAATGCTAAAAACTTTGGTTCAAGCCGCGACAAAGACAATGCTACAAGTCCACAAGATTGGCCACAATTAGATATATTCCAAACACCATTTAGTCTAATGTTTTTGCAACAATAATTTCAAAATCAACTAAGGAAGGATCCCTGCTTTGCGGCGGTTAAAAAGTGTTTGGTTGTAAAACATACAAGTAGATGCATGTAGATACATATTACAAACATAAACATCACAAACACATTGTTTTGACCATTTTTAAGTGTTTTATGTTGCTTTGAGCATTTTGCCCCTGCTGGCTGCTTTCCTTAAATGTTACCTTTGATGATCTCAAGTTTTTTCTACTGTAAAATAGAAATACATTATAAAAAATAGATAAATTATATGTAAGAAAATTAATAGGGTTTATTGTGGAGATCTGGATACCAACTTGGATCATAAGAGCACTTTCTGAACTGATATTTCTACCATATGTCTGAGTTGCAAGAAATTCAACCTAGGATAATCCAAGTGGACACTTATGATTCTAGGCACAGAAATCGTAAGCCAATTTGCTAAATAGATTCTGTTAGAGTTTGATGAAAATGAGAGCTAAAATTTGTAACCCTCTTTTGAGACAGAAGAGTCGTTTATATATTAAACGAGATTAGGGTTTTATTAGGGTTGGGCCGTCATTAGTTTCTTTGGAAGCAAGTTAGGATAATCCGGATTTAATGAGGATTTAGGATTACCAAAACTAACAAGTTTCGTTACTCTTACCATAATCACCCTCAAGAAACTAACGAGTTTCGTTAGGTTGATGAAACAGCGGGACCCGAGCCAGGGGCTCTGCCCCTTAGACCCCGTTAGGGGTGCTGCCCCTAGACCCCGCCAAAGGGGAACTGACCCTTTAAAAACCCCGGACCCAGGGGCGCTGCCCCCAGACTCCCGACTAGTCTTCGAACCGGCTTCTAATTCGATCTTATATATGTGTGCACTTCGTACCAACTCGTACCTATATTAGAGTACAAATTAAGAATCCCCTTAGCTCACATGTTAGTTCCAGTTACATAAAATGAGATGCTGACACTAAAATCACCAACAATCCTCCCCCATTTTAGTGAAATCCTTGAACAGATGTAACCTTATCAAACAAACCAAACTAGTACATAATGAAAATATCGAAACGATTGAATTACCACCTAGTATCATACATTTGCAAATACTCGAGAATCAGGGTGTTCTAAGAGTTGAACCCATCAACCCATTTGAATACCAGAAAATAAAATACATACTAGTTTATTGATTTTCTAGCAAAATACAACTTGACATTATAATAAAGTCGTGTGTCCCGATCCTCTCATGATCGTATCAAGGTCAAGTCCACAACCTCTTGAAATGCGGCTGCACTTCACAATCACGTGGGAACTCCTTTCCATATATCTGCACATGCATTAATCAAAGGAATTATTAAGAAGCTAAACTTCAACCTGGCTAACTTATAGAACCGAACACATACTTGGGATGAATAATTCATGTGTTCCAATCTATAAGTATGAGCTTTCCACATTGAATTCAACTCCTAACTTTATATTTGGAGTGAATTGGGTGTCTCATCATTACAGAATTAAAAGGACTTTAATCTCATCCTTATTACAGACTTGTGCACTAAGTCTCTTCTCAGACCTTTAGTCAAGTGATCTGCCAAATTTTGTTTCGATTTCTCAAAGTCAACTGAAATCACACCATTCATGATTAGTTCTCTAATCATTCTATGTCTAACACCTAGGTTTCTAGACTTGCCATTATAAACCTGGCTATATGCCTTAGCCAAAGTGGCTGAACTATCACAAAGGATAGAAATAGGTGCTATCGGTTTAGACCACAAAGGAATCTCATAGACTAAATTCTGTAGCCACTCTCCTTCTTTACTAGCAGCTGCTAACGCAACAAACTCAGATTCCATTGTCGAGTTTGTAATGCAAGATTGCTTCTTGGAAGCCCAAGAAATGGCACCTCCACCAAGCAAGAATACCAAACTAGAAGTTGAGGAATGATCCTCCGTGTTGGTTATCCAACTTGCATCTGAATGATCTTCTAAAGCCGATGGACTTCCCAAATAACTCAAGCCATAATCCATGGTCCCCTTGAGATACTTGAATACTCTATTCACTGATTGCCAATGTTGAGCACTAGGATTACTAGTATACCTACTCAACTTACCCACATCAAAAGCAATATCAAGTCTGGTACTTGTCATGGCATACATCAAGCTACCAATAGCCTTATAGTATTCCAACTGTGAAATGGGAACACCGTTATTTGGCATTAGTTTCACATTGGATCCATAGGCGTACTCACAGGAGAACAATCGTTAAATTAAACCGCTTGGGAATTTTCTCAATATAATGACTTTGAGTCATCACCAAACCTTTGTTCATCCTCTAAATTCTTATTCCAAGAATTACATCAGCCTCTCCTAAATCTTTCATGGAAAACTTGGATGATAACAATTTCTTTGTTTCATCTACCTGATTTTGGTCGGTGCCAAAAATCAACATGTCTTCTACATATAAGCAAATGATCACTCAAGCTCTAGTAGCTTCATCAAATCTACTATAAACACATTTGTCACAT